CCCTCAACCCCCCACCCTGATCGGGGGCATAGCCTGCATACAAACAGCCGGTGGCCCCTTGCCCAGGCTGCCCCGTCCTAGCGGGGACCCCACCCTGATTGGGGGTGGGGCTGGCCTGCAAACCCTGTGGCGCCTGCCCCAGGAGCCCCATCACTCAGTAGAGATCCCCACCCTGATCTGGGGCACCCTTCATGGCAGGAGAGCCAGCCCCCACCTGTGCACCTGGCCTCTATCCTATATAATAAAAGTGCAATATGCAAATTGACCCTAATAGCAGAATGACCAGAATGACCGCTAGACCAGTCACTATGAGGCACACTGACCATCTCTTGGTCCCTTTCCCTGGCCGGCAGGCTCCAATCACCTGATGGCCACCCATTGCGAGGGTGGGGCTGGCAAGCCAGTGGGAACAGTGGACCTCTCGGTTCCTTCCCCTGGCCATCAGGCTCCAATTACCCGATGGCGAGCGGGAAACCGGGGCAGGTGGCGGTGGGGGGTGGGGCTGGCTGCAGGCAGCTGGGGAAGATAGCCCTGATCACAAGCCAGGCCGAGGGACCGGACCCACACACGAATTTTGTGCGCCGGGCTTCTAGTACCATATAACACGAACAATTATAAAGAACTAAAGAACAGTTTTCCTGAGAACTCTTTTGAAGATTGAAAAGCATGCTTTTAGTTATTATACTCAATAGAAAGTTTATATAGGTAGTGTATTAGTTTCCTAAGTCTGCTATAACAAATTACTGCAAATTACTGGGTGTCTTAAAACCATGGAAATTTATTCCCTCACAATTCTGGAGGTTACAAGTCTGAAATTTATATGTGAACAGAGTTACCTTTTTCTGGAGGTTCTGAGAGAGAATCTGTTCTATGCCTCTCTCCCATCTTTTGGTGGCTGCTGGCAATCCTTGGAGTTCCTTGCCTTGTAGACAAAGCCCTCCAATCTCAGTCTCTATCTTCACCTGCCACTCTCCCTTGTGTCTTCTGTATCCATATTTCTCTTATCTTATAAGGGAGCAATTTTCAACTTTTTTCATCTAATGCCACATATAAAGTAATTACGAAAATTCTGCAGCACACACAAAATATGTTTTTTTGCTGATCTAACAAAAAAATAGGTATAATTTTGATTCATTCACATGGGATGGCTATTGTGTTGGCTGTCATTTTTTTATTTGACAATCTAAGGGAAAAGTGGTCCGTGTCCCTAAATAGGTACTGCATATTTTAAAAATTCTTGCAGCACACTGGTTGAAAATCACTGTTATAAGGACACAAGTCATTGGGTTATGACCTGCCTGGTCTGGTATAACCTCATTTTATCCTGATTATAGAACTGCAAAGATCTTAGCTATGGTGAATTGTGCTGCTATGAACATAGGGGTGCATATATCCTTTCTGATTGGTGTTTCTGGTTTCTTGGGATATATTCCTAGAAGTGGGATCACAGGGCATAACCAATGGACATAAGACACTGGGGGATAGGGGAGGCTAGGGGACTGTCAAGGGCAGGGGGAAAAATGGACACATTTGTAATACTTTAAGCAATAAAAAAAAATACAGTTCCTCATGTTGAGGTGACACCCAATTTCATTGTTACAAATTGAACATAATTAAAGCATAGTGATTAATCACACAAAAAAAGAACTGCAAAGATACTATTTTCTTAAAAGATCATATTCGCAGGTACTAGGTATTAGAACCTAAATATATATTTTTTTTGGGGGGGGGCTATAATTCTACCCACTATAGATAATTAATACTTTCTCCTAAAAAATGAAGACTACAACACCATACAAAAAATACCAAAAAACCCTAATAGCCATCTATTCTAAATAAATCTAACTAGGTCTCTATATTTTAACCGAATTCAAGATTTACTCAAGAAAATTTTATTAGACTGTCTTTATGATAAGAGCTTATTTAAACATGCATACAAAAGAATAAATATGGACCCTTACGTTATATCATATACAAAAGTCAATTCAAAGTGGATCAAAGACCTTAACATAAGAGCTAAAACTTACAAATGTTGTTGAAGAACATAGGGGAAAAGCTTCATTATATTGGACTCAGCAATTATTTCTTAAATATGATACCAAAAGTTATGTAATAAGAGTATTAGAAATAATTGGACTTCATAAAAATTAAAACTTTTAGGCATCAAAGGATAAAACTGAGTGAAAAGGCAAGCCATGTATGGGAGAAAACTTACAAAACACCTATCTAATAAGGGATTAGCATCCAGATTATACAAATAATTCCTACAACTCAATAACAAAAACCACCTGATTGAAAAATGATGCCCTTTAGCCAGTTTGGCTTAGTGGACAGAGTGCTGGCCTGCGGACCAAAAAGTCCCAGGTTCCATTCCCGTCAAGGGCATGTACCTTGGTTGCAGGGTCTTCCAGGCAGGGCCGTGGTCAGAGCAAGTGCAGGAGGCAACCAATCCATGTCTTTCTCTCACATCGACATTTCTCTGTCTCTCCTTCTCTCTTTCACTCTCTCTTAAAATCAATGGGAAAATATCCTCGAGTGAGGATTAAAAAAAAAAAATGGGCAAAGGATTTGAATAGACATTTCTCCAAAGAACATACACAAATGGTCAATAAACATATGAAAAGATGCTCGACATCACTATTCATTAAGAAATTGTGATTCAAATTCAAAATGTGATACCACTTCACACCTTTTGGATGGTTATTATTACAAAACCCCAGAAAATAACAAGTGTTGGCAAAGATATAGAGAAATTGGTGGGAATGTAAAATGCTATAGGCCAGGGGTAGGCAACCCCTGGCACGTGTGCCAAACATGACACGCCAGTAACTTTTGCTGGCACGTGAAACCCTCTCTTATAATCTTCCATTTACAATTTTTGTGAACATTTGAATGACTTAAATGTTAAATTACAAGGAATTGGCAAAACACTTGATGTTATGTTTGGTTACATAAAGGCTTTTGAAAAGAAACTGGAAGTCTTTAAGAGGGATGTGGATGATGAGAAATTTAGATATTTCCCAAAACTCAAGAGGCAGATCAAAGACCTCCCAAAAGATGACAGAACTGACTATCAAAGCCTTCAAAAGCTGTTTTTAAGCATCATCGAGTCAACTATTGAGCAATTCTTCTCAAGATTTGCAAAATTCAGAGAACTGGAAGAGACAGCAAAATTCATGAGGTTTCCAGACAGCATGAAACTGGAGGAACTAAACTTACAAATATTTTCATGGATAGACACGGCTGACTTTGAAATGCAGTTGATTGAATTTCAGAGTAGCTCAATTTGGAAGCAGAAATTTATTGACTTTAGAGTTGACTTGGAAAACATTGAAAAAAAGGTATTAGAGACAGGAGTACCAAACAGAAGTGTCAAAAATGAACTATTGAGGACTTGGAATGCCATTCCAGAAAATTTTTTCTGTTTACAAAACTTTGCAAAAGTGTTACTCTCCATGTTTTCATCCATATACGCTTGTGAATCTTTGTTCTCAGTGATGAATTTTGTTAAGTCTTGTAATAGGAGTAGCCTGACGGATGAAAGTAGTAGCTCGTGCATATCTCTGAAGGTCACGAAATATAAACCTGATGTAAAATCTCTGTCATCAGTGATGCAGCAGCAAAAGTCCCACTGATAATATCAAACGGAGTCATAAAGTTTTCTGTCAGACTATCAGTGTAGATGTATACATTAAAAAATAAATGTATTTTTAATCATCATACAGTGTTTTTGTCACTCGAATGAATTTTATTATTTCTTCAAGGTTCTTCACAAACATACACATACATATAAGAGATATCAAGTAGGCGTAACATGTTCTCAAAAAATTAGGGGTGGGCCCTCGCTCAATCAATGATTCTTATCATTGCTGTTTCTATCTCTTTCTCCCTCTCTTCCTCTCTGAAATCAATAAAAATATTTTTTTAAAAAAAATTAGGGTTGGCACGCAGAAGAATTTTGAGTCAGAGATTTTGCTGGTTTTGGCACGCACTCACAAAAAGGTTGCCCACCCCTGCTATAGGCCCTTATAGAAAACTGCATGGCAGTTCCTCAAGAAGTTAAACATAAAATTACCACATAATTCAGCAATTCCGCTCTGGGTATACCCTTAAGAACTGAAATCAAGGACTCAGATAGATACACCCATGTTCAAAGCAGCATTACTCTCAATGGAAACAACCAAATGTCCACTGACAAATGAAATATTATTCAGCCTTAAAAAGGAATGAAATTCTGACACATGCTATATAACATGGATAACCTTAAGGTTAAGTTAATCTTAACGGTGAATAAAATCAGCCAGTCACAAAAAGACAAATATTGTATGATTCTTCTTATAGGAGGTACATAGAGTAGTCACATTCATAGAGAGAGAAAGTAGAATGGTGGTTGCCAGAAGTTGGGGTGTGGAGAATGCAGAGTTAGTGTTTAGTGGATGGAGTTTCAGTTGGGGAAGATGAGAAAGTTATGCAGATAGATGGAAGTGATAGTTGCACAATAATGTGAATGTAGTAACTGTCACAAAACTGTACATTTAAAAATAGATAAAATGGTAAATTTGATGGTAGGTATATTTTACTCCAATAAAAAAAAAAGGAACGGGGCTCCTAAGCAAATTATCAGAATTAATGACAAATGATTACCATTGAACTTGATTGCTTAACTATCACTTCAAATAAAGTACCTTTGAATGATTTCTGTTCTATTAAGCAAAGACTTCACAAGACAAACAAATATATATATTACCTCCTGAATTTCTTTTTCTAAAAGCTCCACTCTTTCGCGAAGGTGCCTCCTCTCTGTGTCAATAGAAAGAAGTTCCAGTCGAACTGAGCTGCTTTTTCCCTCAGCTTGGTGGGCTTTGACTTCCCAGTCTTCAGCACGGTTATGAAGCATTTGAAATCTATCTAACAAATCTTGATTTTCTTTTTCCTAGTTTGAGAATAATTAAATTGTTACTAAGTTAGTAACTGTCACTTACTGGAATATTCATGTCAAAAACATATATACATATTGGGATTTTTGTTTTAATTTAGGAAACAGAAGCTACCTCTATAGATACTATCCTATAATAAAAGCAAAATATGCTAATTAGACCGGGCAGCCAAACAACCTTCTGAACGTCCTTCTGGATGACCTTTCGGATGAAGATGCCATGGCAGGGGCAAGCCAGAGGTGGTTAGGGGCAATCAGGCAAGCGGGATATTAGGCAGGCAGGCAAGTGGTTAGGGGCAATAAGGCAGGCAGGCAGAGGGGTTAGGGGCAATCAGGTAGGCAGGCAGAGTGGTTAGGGGCAATCAGGCAGAGGGGTTAGGGGTGATCATGCAGGCAGATTCAGTGGTTAGGAGCGATCAGGCATGCATGCAGGCAGCAGGTAGGCGAGTGGTTAGGAGCCAGCAGTCCCGGATTGCAAGAAGTCCCGGATTGCAAGACTGCCGGTTTAGGGCAAAGATACTGTGCTTTAGAAATGCATGATACATTTTAATTATTCTTACTTCTAGTCGGCTTAATTTATTTATAGCAGGGTTGGAGAATATCCAGCCCATGGGCCATTCATGGCTGGCAAAATAATTTGAACCAGCAGTCGCACATTCCCCAATGGGTCCCGGATTGTGAAAGGGTGCAGGCCGGGCTAAGGACCCCCACCCCCCATGCATGAATTTTGTGCACTAAGCCTATAGTACTAAATAAGATTTGTAGGGA